TGGAAAGGGTTTAAATGGCTGGTGGAAAGTCGAAGTTAGAATAACGAAAATTGTTTATTAGGATAGAAAGTGGACAAAACAATAATTTATAGACGAACGAATCACATTTATGACCGCTGGTCTTGGATTTGGGCGTAAAATTTATTCACACGTTTGGTTAAGTAGCGTTTTAGCATTTTAGACTCGTCCTCGATTATAAAGAGCTTGAAACGAACAAAAGGTTTTACCTCACAAAGATGCATAGATTAAAGTCACAGACTTCATAATCAATGTTAACGGGTCAGTAACTACACACTCCTTCATTTTCTGAGAGTTAATTTTTGAGTTTTTATCGGAGCCACTAGAGCAATACTGGGGTATTATAAAAATGTAACAGGGTCGAGATTCGGAAGCAGTTATGTATTTGAACTTATGTATGATTGCAGCTGTTTTATGTACGGTCATGATCTTAGGACTGGTAGCAACATTCAAATCGCCTTCGTTTTTGTGAGGGATGGGGGACAAGGCTTTAGGGTTTGTATAGTGGCCAACTTTAGCTAGTGAGTAAACCTGTTTGATTGTTTTTTCCAGTTCACTGGTGACTCGACGTTGGGTAGTAGTCCTATTATGGACGATTATAATCTTTTTAAATGTCAAAAAACGCAACCTATCTACACAGGGTTTCCAGAGTTCGTAGTTCGTGTCCTTTTTACGTTAATTATTTGTTCTTAACAGTCCATCAATAATAAAGCTAGATACATTTACCTATAGCAACGGATGGAGTCACTTAACAGTTAACAACCCTCTGTAAAGATTATAGTCAATGGAATATCATATCTCACACATATTATACAATCTCCACTTTTGTTTGGGTTTCGATCTTTGCGGTACACTACATAACCATCTACACACGGTGTTAAACCGAAAATATCGGGTGTGCACCAGATTACGGTAATTAGAATGCAGCATAGATTGACCAGGTAGGCTAGAGATGTAAGACTGGCCATCTTATTGCAGAGAGCACTTGAGTTAAGCAGAACAATCGAAAGCTGTGAAGGAATAATAAAATTTGGTAGAACAGAAGCCAAGCTAGTGAGTGATGAGTTATTTTTTTCAGTGTTTATGTGATTGAGATTTTCCGATGGCTCTTTATAGCTAAGCGATTCTCATCAGGCTTCGTTCTAATATACAGTAATATCTATGCTTATTCGAAATTATAAAACCCATAAAGGCAGTTTCTGAGTTAATGATAACACTGGGACAGATTACATAAATAAAAATAATGCGTGAGAAGTACAAATTGGTGGTGTGATGACAGGTGGACAAACTGTGATAAGAGGCCTGAATCAATGTTGGATTTTCGGAAATAGGTCAGTGAATAGAAAAATATAGACACTGAAATAACATTCACAAAAACCATAAGACTACGTAATAAGAAATGTTCAGATAATTGAGCAATGAAGCGTATATTTGCGAAAAGAGAAAAGAGTGGGAAAGTGTTAAGAAGTATAAACGAAGAAAGAGTATGGAAAATAATAATAAATAAAATCATTTATTAAGGCTAATAGAGAGGTTAAAATGTTAGGCTTAACTTAAACTTGCTTTGTATATTTTGCAGTACGGATAAAGCATTACCGATCCAGAGGGTTGTGAGTCTCTTAGCTATGGCCTGTAAGAATAATGATAGTGGTTGCGCTGGTAACACGAGTACTGACAGTAAATAATGTATCAGTGTGGTACGTGCCGTTACAGGATGTGTTAACTACTCGGCTATGTTTGATGGGAAATCAAATCTTCGCTGAAACCAACGAGAAGTGAAGTGCCACTTGATATTGATATGGGTAGTCATACTTCTACGGTAAAAACTAAAGACCCGAATAAGACCGTCGCCATCCCTAATAGTTCCGATGTCACTGTTTTGAGTGATGGAAAATGGTTGACAGCACGTAGACAAAGAAGTGAACGAAAAAAGCTATAGAAAGCACCTAATTAGTTGACAAGTCATTGGTGAACTCTTATTCTGAGTCACAAAAAGCACTACCAAAGTCTGATAGTAGGACAGAATTCTGTCACGGCTCAGGTTGATTGGTTAAAACTTGACCTCAAACAACTAAGTAAATGTCAAAGCAATAAAGCTCTAGTATTCATTCACTACCTTATTTTGTATAGACAATATATGTCCTGTTGTTTTATACTGAACATTGTAAAGCCTTGTGTGTCCGAGTAGGTAATCCTTGGCACCACTGTGACTGTGCCATGATCTAGATAAAGACCTATTCATTACTAGTCTGGTTTCGCCTATCAATAGAATGGGGGTTAACTAAAGGCACGAAAACTTCACCCTAGCGTGGTTGGGAAAAACGTAATTTTATCAAATATTATCGTAAATAATTTACTAGGATCAAACAAAATTGATCTCAAAATTAGACACGCGCATGATTTGGAAAAGCTCGGAAAATTTGTCCGTATTAGCTTATCAGGTGATTCTAAAGCAGTTCATGTCAAACATTGATAAGAACAGGTAAGAAGACCGACGACGGTATTGAACCTCAACCATGTAGACTCCTTAAGGTAATCCTAGCGTCGGAGAAGCAACATGGTCTTTTGTTAAGTAGTGCTCGTATTCACGCCAATACTGGCACTCCATTAACACTTGATATGTCTGTAAAAGATAAAATAGAAAGGAAGACGGCACTAGCTGAACTTGAAATCCATCGGCAAAGTGATGACCAAAATCTCTGCTAGGTCTTTGATTAGTCAGGTCTTGAAAGTGTATATTACCATGGCCTGTGTGGGTAGATCTTTCTCCCTAGGAGTTTTAAATACAAATGCCCATCGTCTAAGAAATAAATTCTATGAACTACGAGCACTAGTGAACCGATTGAGGTCACTCGTTGTAGCTGTGACGGAAACTCGACATCGAGATTACTCCACAATTATCCGGATGCCAGTATTTAAGAAGTGATCAACATAGATGTAATAAAGAAGTTGGCGTCCTTTTATGCAAAGGCAATAATATATGCATCAGCTCCTTTGCTCGTGAATACCATGATAGTGAAACTTGTGAACTCATTATCTATGAGCTGACTATCAAATGTTGCACACTTTTACTCGGTGCCTAGCTGGTGACTTTATTTTGGAGCACTTACATCTATGTAGTGCAAATAACATATGCTTAATATTAGGAGACTTTAATGCACCTGATAATAGTTGAACTGCGATGGCCACTGTAGGATCTACAAACTCATTTATAGTAGGTTCCTGATAACGGTAAGGAAGCATGCATTAGTAGAGTATGTATCCAAACCAACACGTTTCGGTTCAAACCAAGGTTCTTCTTTGTCAGATTTCGTAATAGCTCATGCGACTGAGGATATTGCCAACGAAAATATTCTACAATTGTTAGCGAGTAACAATCACGCTGTTTTATCATTCACATTTAGAGCTAGTGACATGATAGACTATCAGGTTGAACCTCACCCAAATGAATGGATAGCTGCTAAGACAGATTGGACAGTAGATACTAACTCGTCAGTTAGAGAAGCACACTCTGTATTCAAAGGCAAGCTTATTTCAGTTATGTCCTCGTTTGTATCATACCTAGTATCGCGTAGGTCGAAAGACCCATTAGTTAGTTTTGTGTATAAGGCAGGGAGAAGAGACTTAATTAGTAGCTAACGACCTGTTAGTCTAACCGGTGTCGTCAAACTAGTGAAAAACATCACTTGGATGGCTATTTTAAATTATGTGGAATAGAAAAATCTATTATTCACGGGACAACACGGCTTAATGGAAGGCCTATCATGTTTGATAAATTTGCTCATTGCAAGAAAAGGTTGTGCTAGAACAAAAGATAGTAATATTCCTGTAGACGTAACTTTCCTAGACCTGAATCAAGCGTTTGACGAGGTCTGTCACATGGATCTTAAATAAAAACTGGAAAGAATTGGAATTAATTATAACATCATAAAATGTATAAGTGACTTTTTCAGTGATAGGAGACAGCGGGGAAGTGTAAATTGGGTTCTCTCAGAGTGGGAACCTGTAGAATGTCAAGTGTCCCTGATCCTCTTTTCTTTTCATTTAATGTCAATGAATTGTCAACTGCAGCTAAGCCATCCGTTCTACTCTTCGCCGATGGCATAAAGATCTGGAGACCCATACAATGCCAGACAGAATAGTATCACAGGATGATCTCATTTCATTGGTGACATGGATGGACAGATGGTCACCAGAAGTGAATTCTAACAAAAGTGTGGTGATGCAATTAAAAACTATGATTATTCGTATCACTACACAGTACGTGGAGTTGCTATCTAAGGTAATGCACTATAAACATTTAAGAGTCATTATAAGGAGTACTCTTAAAATCACGAGCAACTGTAAGACTGCTGCCAAGGGCTTCAGAGTATTAAGGCCATTCACAGGTCCTCTCAGCATTTGGGTGAGGAAATATTTAGAGTACTTTACCCGACTTTCGTGGGACCGCATTTAGAATATGGGATTCAAGCAGAGAGTCCTTGTTTCAAGTATTAGGAGGATATACTGGAGCGGGTCCAACGACAAAGGACTGAACTGATAAAAGGTCTCTCTGGTTCATCTTATGAAGACAGGCTGAGGCACTTTAACCTATATCCATCATCTTATAGCAGATTATGTGGTGATCTGATATTGGCTTGCCGTATGCTGAACGACGACCTTGGCACTAATAAGTCTTATCTTTTCCTCCCGCCTAGGACTGATCGTTTGAGAGGACATTCAAAAAAAGCTCGGAAACAGAAATCAAATCGACTACATCTGGAGTTCCGTTCCTCTCACCGGGTAGTGAATTACTGGAATCCTATACCCAGAACACGTCATGCCAACACTTGTTGATATATTCATAACGAGATTGAAACTCCACAGTGTTACAAACTGAAAGGACTATATAGGTCAATAGACATTCTTTCCTTGTTACTGTAGACTGAGGTTCAGAGACTGTGATTCAAGCCCCAAATCCCTGGGTATCCTCACGTTGAATTGTTTATAAATTGCCGCAAAATACAACAGTTTGCGTTACTAATGTCCTTCAAAGAAAGGGATTTGCTGTATCGTCTGATCATTAGGTACATTTTCTTTCTAAATACATTCAGCTCAGTCAACTGTTTTATGATGGTTTTCAGACTATGGCTGTTAATCTGGTTAATCTAGTAAGTCCTTCAGCGGCATGTGGTCCATCCAATCGCCTATTCCGTCTCGTAAAACTTGGCCTTTCTGCTTCTGAAGGTAACATAAATTAATCCAACAGTTTATTTCCCCAGAATTATTTCAGTTGATTTTGTATCCACTGTCAGATTCTAGAGTCTCTCCATCCTAACCTATTGTGTATTCTTATAAAAATGTCTCAGTATTCGGTCGTAGGGATAGTAATTCAATTGAAATATATTAATCCTTACTATCCAGTTTTTCTTTAAAGGCGTTCATCGATGGATCTGATTTCACCTGTTTGAGTAGGCTGAAATCGTAAATCTGACCAAATCATTTGTAACTCACTGAAGTTAACTGATATTTATAGCAATAGTGCGAATTTCACCAGATATCTGATGGATGGCTTCGCTTAAGATCTACTTAAAGTAGACTCGTTCACATGTTTGATAAGCGACTGCTTGTTGGTCTCGCATGTCTGTTTGTGCCTAGGTAAAAATCCACATTTAACTGCGTGGACAGTCCCGAGTATTAAGGTTTAGTAGGTTTACATATATTTAAACATAACTATGGGCTCTGAGGTAAATCTTCTCGGTTTTATAGAATTGAAGGAGCAGTTGTAAGCCGCAAGATTTTTGGCGTCATAGTGACTAAGTAGTCAGAAGGCCTGATGGCATTCTTCGAGTACCTGAATGCTTTCTAAATAACTATTACAGTTTCTCCCACTTATCACTGTTCACTCACAATGGTTATTCTACTAAGTGAGTGAAAAACACTAATTGTGTAGAGTGATTTTTAGGTCTAAGTATTTGCTGTAATTTTGTAGTATTCAATCAGGTATTCATAACTTTCACTTCGTGATAATTAAGCTATTTATAATGTGACTTATTATGATCATTATTTATGTTATTGACCTAATAAGTATAGTGTCATTCAGCCACATTGTGTGAGTTAATAACATCCGATTGTCCATATAGAATTAAGTGATGTAGCGGTAAATAAATCTCAAAAAATAAATAGTTCTGTAAGTCCTCGACATTGATGCTGATCTAGTCAGTTTTACTGAACACCTAGCTGAAGACCCTCGGTCACAAATGAACATGGTTAAATGCCTGTGTGATCCGTTTTAACCACTGGATAGATAAACTGTTTTACTTTTTTCAGTCATTCTATCATCTATTAATTTGACCTTAGGTATAGATGTGTGATGGTACGCATATGTCTGTATACTTGCTTATCTCTTTACCTGCTATTTACTTAGTTGTTTATGCCACTCCAGTTTACATTTGCCATGTTTCTTCTGTTTGTTGACTTGAATATGTGGAATATATTCACCCGAAGCACTCGTATTTGACACGATATACCATTGCTCTAAATTTGTCAAGTCAACAGAATTTGTACAAACTTAAAGAGAGTACGTGTACTTCATTGACACCAATATAATTCAGTTATAATGAGTCAGAATGGAAGTAAAAGCTATTTTTAATAGCTGTTTAGAGATCGGTACGTTGTTCATATATAGTTTTTGCATGCCCAAAATTACTAACGATATCACAGACTTGTTTTTAAGTTTGCAGAGAGAGCAAAGTCAAACTGCAGATCGACTTGCTTGCATGTGTTTTTGTTAAGAATCACATTAACATTGGATACAGAGACATCCAAGGCCATAGGAACTGTGAATGTTTACCTTATATCAACACTATTGATAACCTTGGACGTTTGGCTAGACTGTTATGTTCTTTGTCTTTATTTGTTCTTATTTCGGAATTCAGTTTACACAGACCGTTTTTACTGTTTCAGATGAGCATGAAAAGTCAGGCGTTATTGAAGGTGAAAGTATTGCCCCAGGCACGGGAATCGATCTGGAAGTTGAGAGTGAAAGTAGGTTATACTTCCTGGAATTCACTTTTTGTTGGTGGTTTCTGATTATTAAGTTATTATTAAGCAAGTGTTGTTCTAGTTATTTCGCAAATTAATTTCCAAATTGTGAGCTTTTTAGAAAACTAAATTTCATCATATAACTTAGTTGTAGCCTTTATATCTACTTCATAGTCTGTCATTGTTATAAACTGAACTGGCGTTATTTCCTCACTCGAAAGTACCATAGTTGTTTACCGAAAAGCATACAGACTCCGACATTTTAGGCGTAAACTTGAAATTATTGGTTAAAAGTTCTTAGATCTGATTAATAAATGTTTTCTGTGTATAGTACTGTATTTTAATGTAGCAAAAATACAATAGTCATCTGTAATCTGAATAAAATACAACAACAAAATTAGTATTAAGACTGTTTATTACTTTTAAGAGCATCCTTTTAATAATATTTAGCTTCAGCCCTGATTTACTCGATCTAATCAACATTCTATTGACCCGGTTATTGAGCTTCTTGATGCCTGTTTGGCTATAGTTTTGAAATTCAGTGAAACTAGGAGACGCATTTGACAGCCATTGACTCATGATATGAATTGTATGGGTCCTCACGATAGTAAACTTGAATTTGTTGGAATTATTTGATTTAGATAACACGGTAGTTGATGAAGTGAAAAAATCTTTGAAAATAACTAAGCTCCACAGATTTAATAACGTCTCGAACTAGCAACCCAATCATTTGCGGTTATATAATTGTACAGGATTCTTGTGAAATCTGTGGTAAATTAACGTTTTCAAAGTCTCTGTATGATACTAGATACACTTTAATTTGAACTGTGGTACAAGTTGTGTAACAAATCTTAATTCCTTAATATTTCCGTTGACTTTGCATACAGGTTCTACAATGGCTCCTGAGGCAGCTCTATATGAAACTTGTTATGTAACGGCACATAAGGCAGCCTGTCGTGCAGCATCCTTTAATAGCACAGGTAATAAGATGTAATATTTTTTATTTTCATCGTTATTATTCTGGAGTTAAAGTGCAATATAAATTTATATAAATTTGTATTAACTACTATATAAATTGTTAGTAGTGTAATTGCTTTGAATTTTAAAAGTCGTCCATTTTGTGATGTTCTGTGCATACACAATGTCGGTAAAGGTTTTTACTTTCAATCCATTGCTTAACACTTGTGGAAATCATGCTATAGTTATTTTTGAATGCGTGCAAATCGCAAAAATTAACTCGGAAAATAATCATTTTCCGGAGCGTAAGTCAGTATAGGAATGGACAGGATTTTACGGAATTGTTTTTGTGTTGATTTTAATATCAGAAACCTGTGATTGATTTAAGATATAAGGATGCTTTTCTCCAAAGCATTTCTCTTCCTCAGCAGATTTGTGGCCATGTCTTCCGAAATTTCTACAGCGAACAATTTGAACACTTATTGATTTTTTCCCTTCATCTGCTTATCATTAAGGCAAGTATTTAGATACAATGCCATTATTGTATGAACTGGATGTACAAATAATATTTCGGATGTTTAGTTATATTTAATACACAAGATACACGGTGATACTTAAGACCATCAGTTTACGGCAGCATTGATCACTGAACTAATTATCTAAATTACTATATTTTTAAATAATATTAAAAACCAAGTATATATATATATATATATATATATATATATATATATATATTCAAATAAGTGCAAATGACTTAAAAGTACTTTCTTTCATTTCCAAATGACATAGGTTACATGTCATACGAATATCTTTGTAAACAGATGATTTAACTCCGTTTGAAAATATTTTCCCGTTTAGATATACAATTTCGGTTAATAATTTTGTGCAAATAACAAAAGTAATTGAAAGATATCACTGTTTTTGTTGATAGACTGGTTTATTTTATACGACTAAATAATGCGCGGAGATATTCTTTGGTCTTTCCCCTACAAGCCTCCTATGAACTATATCGTGTTTTGTGCCAGACGTTTACGTGAACGTAACAGAAAACATTTGACCTAGCTTTTAGTGTTCATTAAGTTCACCAGTATTCTATATAAATCTTGAATCAAACTAATTATCCATTCTAATATTGTATTTACATTAACTGACCTCAAATTTATTGGATTAAGAACTAACTCTTTCAGGTTTCGGCTGACCATCGTGTTACACTAGATTATAGTTAATATAAACCAATCATTAAATTATAACCAGTAGTATGTTATCTATAGAGATTATTGACCAGTCAAGAAATCCAGTACAATTACTGGTCTGGGTATACTGGTCCACATTTTTATCCAGTTTGTGATTGTTTTATGTTGAACTGTCATCATTACCTCCTCGGTTTTCGTTAACCACATACACTGAATTTTTTATTGGAGTGGAGTTGTTCAAATCTGTGTTGGAGATTATTTGAAATATTTTGATCGTAATATTTACTTTTTGGAAAATAACGTTTAAATTGTCGACTTCTTATAAATCAAAGGTTGAAGTGTATGTAAACTAACTGTTCGTCATTCTATTGTTTTAATTTTTCCTTTTGTTAGGTCAGTTAGTTGCAACAGGATCTCATGACTCTTCGATCAAGGTAAGAAGTAAATTAGTTTCTTTTGTATGACTTTCCGTTCCTATAAGCACAATATCATGTTGAAGTCTTTAAAACAGTGAGATACAGAGTAAGTTATTCCGTTTGACTCGGAGTTGTTTACGCTACTAAAAATGGAAATTAGGCGTCTTTTGGTCGATCACTTGTGCAACATATTTGGTTTCATGGTTATAGAAATCATTACTTTTTACCGTATTCAATAATAAAAACTACTACCAAAGAGGGAAAAGCGATCTAAATGGGCAGAACAAAATTCTGTAGAATTTCCTAGGGATATAACAGTAGAGTATATTACGAACATTTTAAATAAAAGTAATCAAAATACACACATTTCCGTTTCACGCGATACGTGAAGATACACACTCCGTTTAATATAATGCGAATACACATCTTTAATAATTCCTTGTCAGAATTTAAAACAATATTTAAGATGGATTGTTCGACATAGACATTTGAAGCGTTTACAATCCGATTTTGAAATTTAGGTAAACTAATTAAAATATAATAATAATAACAAAAAAGTAGTGCACTTGTTCGTCACAGTTACTCATTCTTTTTGGATGGAATATATATCTACGTCGAATGGGACAAGATGAATATTTTGCAAAGCTATAACTTAGTGATTAAAGCAATTGACTTTTAGTTAATTGGTCATAAGTTTGAAATCTGAGTCGGTTTGAGCATCTATTTCGTATCGATAGTCTTCACAGACAGTAAAACTTAAGCTCGAGTATACAAACTTGCACTCGACATGTTGCATTACTCATTATTATTATTAATTATTATTATTATTATTATTATTATTATTATTATTATCACTATTGCACAGTAAACGGATAGAGTATCAAAATGATCATTAATGAACTGTCCACGGTACTTTAGTTTATATTGCACCTAGTTCCATACCTTCTTCGACCTAGATAACTGGATAGTAATATTATTGAAGAGATTGATCTTGTAGTAAACATAATATGTTTTCACTAATGTCATTTGCCTACCGTTTACTTTATTTTGTTTTTAAATTATAAATCACGTGTATTTAGATACTTGATGTTGAACGAATGCTAGCCAAAAGTGTCTCACCAACTGACCATTTAGGTCAAGAGACACCTCAACAACAAATGGAGACTCATCCAGTTATACGAACACTCTATGATCATACAGCTGTAAGTTACATGAGTTTCTTTTTTGAGAAGAAAATGAAAACTTTTCACAGTTATATAGTGTTGATTTATCTTAAATAGATTATATTTTTTCAACTATTTTCTCTATTGTTATTAATTTTGTTCATAATATATGGCCAAAATATCAGTTTTTTTCTCATTCAACTCTCCAAATGTCAGATTTAACCAAGTATATAGTATTCAAAATATGTAGACAGTTGTTCTCAATAATTGTCTTCTTAGACCACAATTATGAAACAATATATTTAAATCAGCTAGTGTTAAATATCAAGTTAATTAAATCTGAAAATTGATGTCTAGTTGTTATTTCAATGGATAAAATAGGTAATCATAATCATTCAAAGAATAAAATTCTTTGCTGTTCCTTTTTCGCATACAACAGCCTGAAAATCATTCTTGTTAGTTGGTTCTCAGGGAAACCTCAAAACGTTCTATAAACACCCTCATATTTTCATTGTTGGCTGGAGTACTAGTAAACTTTCCAAACTTCTGATTGTTGAGGTTTAGTTATACGGTGAATACCTGTTTTGAGTTATTTGTGTTATTACTCTTGGATCTTAAGTTATGTAGCAGGGTTCCATGCTTAACAGCTTTAAAATAATAAACTTTCTTATTTACATAATCAGTTTGTATATACCAATGTACAGTACTATTGATTTTTATGGTATGTCAAAAGTAACCAATTATTATTATTATCTTGAATTGTACCAATCATTTATTGGTTTATTTAAAATCTACGTCATTTTCGCTGTACATTATTCTATAATCGAATGACTTGACCTTAATAAGAATTTCTATTCTATTTCTGTATACCAGAAAAGAAAAGAATAACGAAATCTCTCCAGATCATATGATGATTGTCATTTATGACTAATTATCTATTCCATTTCTTGTATTGGCTTTTTTTATCATCATTGCTACAAGTAAAGATGTAAATGTATGTTCATTGTAAAAAAAATACGATTTTTCAAATATGAAACCACTACATACATACTCTTAGAAAAGTTTTGCAGAAAGACTAATTAACAGGGTGATAGTTTTATTTTATGTGTCGTCCTTTTTATGGTTTTTTCAAAATATTGAAATTAATAACTCACAAGTACTTATTAGATTTCTAGTTTAGATAACTTATAATTTGGTTCTTATGTTTTATTGATTTCTTAAACTGGATAAAGATAATTATAAAGATATTAATTGGAATCTATCAATGCATGATAAAACTTTTATACTTTCATTTGTAGTCTTTCAACAAAAATAACTGTTTGAAAGTTGTTTTAGTTCAGCAAGTCACAATTAACTTTCATCATATAAAACAACTTTAAAATTATAATAGGTCTAGAAGTTTACAGCTTTATGTTCATCATTTATTTCATAGTTTAGCTAGCGTATAAGCTAATCAAGTAAATATATCTGGAATTTTACGTATAATTTCTGGATAGAAAAGATATGTTATCCGGCTAGGTCTAAATGTATTTGTATGTGGAGATGGCTTAGTTAAGTGCACGGAATCTATTTGTAAAAATCTTTAGTTATGTTTAAAGATATGATCTTAAATTCATTTCAGTACATATATACTATTAAGTAGGATTTTTTTGGTGTCATGAAGCGAATTTTCGATTGTTAAAATGAAAGGGAAAAATATTGGTCGATTGATGAACTCAGTCATGTGAAATGACTGATTGATGGTTGCTCGGGGAATCAGATTATTGATTTAAGCTCCATAATGATTTAAAATCAAAGTCGACACTAGCCAAGACAATAGGCTCCTTTTTTCAATAAGATGACATACTTATATACAAAATATAAACACAAATATAATAAAATGTGATAAGCAACTGGAGGAAATCTGTCTATGGGTCACTCCATCTCCAACCAATTCAAACTTCACTATGACATCGTACAATCTCCCCCACGAAATGATATGAATCCGGAGGTCTCTTGATCATAAATGGCGAGTGTTTATTTCGCCTATAAAGAAGGCAATTATCACATGAATTTGGTTGATCTATGTTTGACTGCATCTCAGCGGCAGTTGACAGATAGCTAAAAGGCCAACCGTTGACATCGGTTGTAATGTATCTATGGAATAATGAAGTGGTATCTGTTGATATGCTCACAGATTTCACCATCAGTTTGTTCCTTGAATTTCTCCACTTTGTTTTTTTAATGTTCCATGTGTCTTGTGGCTATAAAATTTGTCTTTATAGTCAATCATATTAAATTTACTGGTTCGATCCTGCTTCGTTTGGACACCCGGGCAGTATCACTGCTCTCACACAAATCAAGTGAGATTTGTGTGGCGCATATGTATTTGGTGCCTTCTTGAACCAATATCTACGTGTTCAAATAAGACAAAATAAATAATACTGGTACGATAGTTTTTTTGCAAGCATGATTCACTGTGTTTACATTTTATGCATACACCAGCAGTGTGTAGACCTGTGTGCAGTAGACGAGTAGTCTTTTCTTATAATGCCTATCAGTCTGTAACAAATTCTTATATAAATCCAAGGTACTAGCTATAAGAATTATTCGATTAGGGAATGAATGCTTATAGTCAATTCGTGGAAATGCAATACAATTATGTATGTCTTTTTATGTGGTTGCCACTAAATAGAGTACATATACTGTATTGTTCAATCTGACTCAGTCACTAAAACGGATTATGCATTTGTTCACGATCCAGATCAAAACTGAGTGGGAAGGTTTCTTGTAAAGAGTCAGTATTCATAGATCTCTATATGTTACCAGACGAACCGAAACATGTGTGAAATGAACTTTGCTAAATGGATAATTCACTTAGCCACTTGTACTTTCACATAATCGCTGCCTGTCTAAAGTAGTTTTCGTTAAGGTTTTTCAATAAATCATCATAGCAACTTTCATCCTTTATCATAACACACGTTAATAATAAAGAGCTATATTCAATATTGTATTTGAATCGAATCTAGAAGTTTCTTACAAAACGAATAAATTATATGGGACTTAGTGATAAAATATTTAATAATACAATCATACGTAACATTAAAACATGAGTGTATTTTGGATAAGTATTTCTGTTCACTCCTTAGAAACCTATTATTGAAAATTAAGTATACAATTCTTCTTTTTCTATGTTTTACGAGTTTCTTCTCTCTTCTTAACCATTTGGCGAATACAATCAAGTTCAAAACAATCCCATTTATCTCTAATTGCCTTTTTCTTAATTATTATCCAAACAAATTTCCTATTTTTCGTTTATTTTATTTTTGTATTTACACTAATAATGTTTCTAATGCATTTAAATTTGTGGTTTGTGTACTTTTGTAAACGCCCTGTTTTTCGTTCGAAAAATTTTAATAGTGTTAAAACTAGATTTTGGATAAATCTTATTTTATATTCTATCTGCCTTTTACTTATTGGCTTAAGTTATGACAACTTGGGCCTATGCATATTTTTGCCCCACTCTGCATTGACTACCACTGATCGATTTATTATGTGCGGTTATCAGCAGCGCTTTAAATGTTCAATATGTTATGTATGACACTTTCAACCATCTTTCTGTTCATTTATTAAGGAAGTGTTGCATATTAGAGTATGATTTTCATCGGAAATTCGTCAGTATAGCGCAGCTCAACGTATTAGGTGACATGCACAATATTGTCAAAGTTACGGCTTGAAATGAAGCACCATCGCAATAAATGAACGGGAAGACGGCCGAAAGTGCTGTACATAACATAACGAACACTTTAAGCGTTGTTGATAACAGCAGACGATGAATCAATCCGTTGAGCTGCGCTATACTGACATGTTCAAAACAGACAATTGTGGGTAGTTCCAGATACCTTGAAAAAAATCTTTATTGAAAATTTCACCCCGATATCAAGCGCTGGACGGGAAAGTGGCTGTAAGTGCTGGTTAAAATTCATTAAACACTTCAAATGTTGCGGATAACCTCAACCTACCTATTCGCTATAGTTTTATCAATTGCGCTTTCACAAGATAGTTTGAGTCACGCAAATTAACAAATCAGCTGGTGAACCATTGAAAAAAACAACTCTTGAGCCTGTGGGACTGATATTTCATTCTAATTTTAAATTATTAAAGTGTGTAGTGTTTGTGTGCGCCGAACGACTCCACATTAAGGTATGAGGATATTGCCTCAAGATCGTCATTGGTTTCTATTTTGAGTCATGTGTGATAAGATCTCAAGTCCATTATGTTGCACTGCCTCTCGGACCCCAACCAGAAAATCATGATAGACCGACAGAAGTCAGTTCTATACAGCTTTCTTTCATACCCTATGGCCATTTAATAAACTTGCCACCTCATCGCTTTTCTGTCAGTAAATTATGCACAATATGTAGGTTGCTGGGATGACATTCCTAACACATTCAATGAACTGAAGCCAGTGTTTCAAAATGTTGACACGAAGTCATTTATTGTTGCTGTGCCCAACTATACATTACCTAACATCCATATTAACATGTTGTTGCCACTGATTCATCAATCCTTCAGGGACAATGAAGATCACACAAAAAGAGTCGTCGAATATTATCAACAGCATAGGGCAGAAGTGCTCTCATCGACGCGTTGTAAACCCGATTTTTTCAGCCAGAATAAAATGACGGCACCAAATGTGGTTTATGTTGGCTTAAGCTGCTCTAGCTTTGACTTTACGTAGGTTCATCTGACACGCCATTACCAACACCAACATAGCTACCGTGATACACGAACTGAACAGATTATGGTTGTATGTAGTCAGATAATCAGTATCAAGAATTGTTTTACTTCTTTGAGGAGTAGTAGCTTAATGGTTAAATTGATAGAATTTCAGCTACAATTTTCCAGGTACGAACTTGACTCCACCTTATTTTATTCTGATAACCATCTTTTGATACAACTGTCACTCACACAACTAGATTTTACCCTAAAGACGGATGCACAAACATGTTCTTAATGATGAAGCTGCCGTAAAATTTTATGTTTTTTCTTGCATTAACATAGTTAACCAACTCTTGTTTTACCATACTACCAATCGTCTCCCTTTTTAACGAAAACTTTTGTAGGAAGTTACATGTGTAGATTTCCATCCAGATCCAACGCTGCAGATCCTTGTTAGCGGAAGTAAAGATTATACAATCAAACTGTTTGACTTTTCAAATCCATCTGTTAAAAAAGCTCAACGAAATATTCCGGTAAGTAGCTTCGACAAATTGATTTGTGTATATTTCTTATAACCTAATTCATTTTTGTTTCATCTCGAACTTATGTTCTTTGGAAATCTTCGGATTCTCGATGGTACACGGCGTGTGTTTTAAATCTAACATCAGTAAACACTCGTTATATTTTAGGGTCGAATTCGTGATTTTTATATCTTGTTGAACCTTGTTTCCAGCAATTATTTAAATTTAACATGTGATTCTTATGATCGTATTTATAACTTTTTGAAACTAGAAGTATACCTGATGCATGTGCCAATTCATTCCTACCGAATTTAAGTCGAATAATTTGGTAAGTAAAGACTTAGTAATTGATTCCTCTCATCTCCTGCTCGATATTTAACTGCTGAATTACTATTTGACCATAGATATCTTATGGGCGTTGTTCGCAGATTGTAGAATAATCAAGTGATCAATGTATGGGTAAGACGTTGGGTACTAGTTACGGATTACATATCGGTTCATGAGGTTGATGAATTTTTTCTTCTGGTTAGCGTTTTTTTAACGAGTTAGTTTCCTACGGGATGGGGACGCTAACCCCATGCCCAACCCTCCTCCTTTATCCGAGCTTGGGAGGGACTCCAGGTGGAGTTTGAGGTTGCTGAGGGTATATTAAATATCTTCAACCACTATTTACCCTGAGCTACTATACTGGCTAGCATAAGAATAACTTTTAAGAGCGCTGGAGGTACTCAAGCAAAGATATATCGCCAGATCACATTATCATTAGTTTCTGGTCAAGTCACGTTAAAAGGTGTAGACTCTTTGATTGTAGAAGTTATATGATATAAATGAAAATCAGTCTTGGTGGTGGAGTTGTATTCGTCATCTATCTTTTCTCGGATCTTAAGTTTAATGTCACTCCATAATTCCCTGATCTTATTCACTCCTTTCCAAGCATATTTTGTATCTAGCTACAGCCAGTTTCTGATGCAAACCGGAAAGTTGAATCTTCTAAAACACCATATACTATTAATATTCATCTGATCACTAGTGTTTAGCTTCGAGAGTTATTTCCCAGAGTTCCAATGATAAACCATGATCAGTGGCTTTCAACTGTGTTGGAAGTGAAGAGGTTACTCACCCATGGTATGGGATGATGGTTGTACAATATCCCATATTGACTGGATTAAGAAATGTGAACTATTTGTTGCTGGCTCAACTGTTTAAAAGTTAAGCACTCATACCAAGACCTAAAGGTTTTAGGTTAGTTCTCTGGCAGGGTCATGGTTGAGCACTTCTGAGAAGCCCATACTGGAACAAAAAAATTTGAGCGCTTCATAGTCTTCAATGGTTTTCCAGACAAAATTAGTCCGTGATACAACCCTCCCTATTACTAATATATTTATAATATTGTTTTTTATAGTAATTGATATTATTTCGGCTGACTTGCTTTTAATCTTATTAATTTCTTCTCTTACTATTCTGTCATAACATGTGGCATTGTAGATTAAAACACATTTGTACCAGATCATATGTTATCTATTATTGGATGATTTCATTATTTATGAACTAACCCAATAAACTATCGCTTAATTGAAAATCAATTTTCTTCATACATGTTTATGTGTGTTTATATGTGCGCATACATTTAATATTACTTTTCTGTTTGTTATTTATTTATCAGCGTAATTTGTTTAATTCCTATTATACATGAATATCAATAGATGTCGTCTGAACAACTCATAGTTATGTTATGCCTGTAACTTCATTGTGTTTTATTCATTATCTACAAAGTAATGATATAAACTAATTGAACTATTAATATACATGTAGTATATTGACATTGATAATGACTTAAGTGTTTAAAAATATTTTTAGAAATATATTCACGTAATAAACTGATTGTCTGTAATTACGTTCGAACAACTTGAATCTAAACTAGGTGGTAGTATGACTACTGGAGCTCTGTGTTTTTAAAATGACAAACACTGCATAAATTATTGGCTTTTTATATCCATTCTGAAACAATAATAATAAGCGACCATGGTATTTTTATGATTATTACCATTATTTGACGACAGGTTTAAACAGTACAAAGGGGGAAAGATGTGAAAACCTTTTCATCATGAGTGGGTGGTTGTGGATGATACAGTTAAACTACAGTTGTTTTAATGTTATTCATACTGTTGTGTGTGAATGATAGCCTTAATTGTTTCGTACATCTAGCTAGTCTGTTTATTGAAATCTATTCGGTAGATTCATTGAACAATGTACCCAGTTTGTTATTTCAATAATTTAATCAATTATATTGTTTCATCATAATACACCTATTATGTATAAATCGTAACAAGTGATCGGTCAAATTTAACATATAACCACTAACCTTAATGACTTGATACTGTATTGTAATTTATTTAATCCTGGATGACTGAAAACCATTAGGAAGTTATGATTTATGTTGTTAATTTATTGCAGTTCTAAATCCTACTTCTAAGGAACATATCAAGCTAAGCAGTCTTAACTCTGATATTGTGTTGTCAAATCTGAAGTGGAATATTACTATGTTACTCTGACAATGTTCTTTTTCTTAAAAATTGTCACATTTGTTATGTTTTGTTGTTAGCTAACCTGTACTATGTACTACTCTGTGAACTGGAAACTTTCAACATCCTTTTGTTTGACAGTTATATTACAAATGCTTAAGTAGTGTAGTGAAAATACAACTCGTCATGGAACCTCGTATAAACTGTTCTCTAGTCTGATTCCTTAGTCAATTATGAAATGATTTTAAAGATATCTTTCTTTGACCAGATTTCTGTTGATCTGTTCCCCTTTTCCACTGATTAAGGTTTGAAAGTCAAGTGTTTTAATCACTAAATTAGACTAGATTGTTTTCATTTCCATCCTATCTTTATCCATTCAAAATTTACTCCTCTTTTTACAACCCGTTATCACTACAATCTTAAAATGTTACTTTAACGATTGTAATGAGTGTAGGAACTGTTAGCTTTATACAAGCATATATTATGGTTAAATAGTTTTCATCTCGTGGCTAGATAGATGTTTTATCCTCTGTTACTATGCTATCATTTCACTTTATATATTTGTTGACTAAGGTAATGAAAACAATCTTTAAAAATTGTTCCCATCACAATATTCTTTATCAACACCATAAAACATTATTTTGGAATGTAAAGATGTGTTATTCACTTTTAAATTACCATCTTAGTAATCATAAATTTTAGTTAAGAAAATTAAATAATTGATTGAAATAAAATATAGGCCTTTTTGTAAACAATGATGGATAGTGGCTAGCAGTGGAATCCAGGACGCGCGTTCCGTCCTATTTGGGACTCGTCAGCTGGATTTACCTGCATCTCAGAGTTGATGTTCACCCAGGGACTCGAACCCAGTACCATATTTAAGATCAGTTAATTTTTGATCTTTTTTTTTTTTTACAAAGTTAACTATAATGGTTAGAAACATTTGGAATAGAATTAGGAATTAACTAATCATGTGTTTCATAATAATTGATTGTATCCATATCATCTATTCCCTGTATCTTTGTGTAAATGTTATTTGCATGTACTTTTTTTTCTAAAAATAACCTAACCACAGTATGAAATTGTTAAGAAATGAATATCTCTTATGATTTCTCTTGAAGACTTATTGATCAATGAAACAAGAAAACTGTTTATTCAGTAACATGTTTTCTTTGGAAATCATTTCCTTTGTGTGTATATGAATATTTTATTTATTTATCTTTGTTTTTCTTAAGTACAAATGATATTACCACATATAGATAAATCGATTTGAAATTTTTCATTTCATTATATGTGTGTTAATTTGGCATTTTGTCAATATTTTCTAAACATTGTTCTCTCTCTTTTTTTTTCTTTCTTTAGGAAGCTTCCCCAATACGAACTTTACATTTTCATCCATCTGGTAACTTTTTACTTGTTGGCACTCAGCATAAAACACGTAAGCCTTTTCATACAAATTGTTTTTAATTTAATAGTGACTTCTAAGTGTTACAGTAATTTTAATATTCCGAATGAAATTCATAAGTAACTATCATCTAACATTTTCAATATTCAATTTACACATGTCTGGTTCTTCAGTGTGCTCATATAATCCTAATTGACATTTATCATTGATAAATTCTGTCGCCCAACGGCCTAAATCATATTTCATCCAATTGTGAAATCATAGTTTATTACTCAAACACATCTGTGCCCCAAAATGCCCTGGTACGGCCGAGAGTGGAGAAAGTCCGCTCTCCCTCTTGAAATTCTCTCACATGGCCACACGTATATAGCCTCTGTCAGGGAAGTCATACTCACTGCCTTCTAGCTACAGGGGTGTTGTTTACGAAATTGAAAGGACGAAAAGCGGATATCTGGCGCTTTAACAGGGTTGGTGGGCATGGAGAGTCCACCTAGGGGAGTTGGGAAACCCTGATTCCAAACCAATGGTGCACATGGGCTCCAGTATCCTGCCGGAACGAATGGCGTATGAACCAATCGTTGGTCACCGGCTTCCATGGGACTGCATCTCCTTACGATGCTCCACTGCCTTGTGGATCAGACCTTCAGGTCGAAGGCTGCGGGTGTGGCCCCCTAAGAAAACCACCTGCTTCAGTTTGGGCACCCGGGCGGTATCACAGCCCTCACACATATCGAATGAGATTTGTGTGGCGCATATGTATTTGGTGCCTCCTTGTACCAATATCTGTGTGTTAAAATAAAATAATAAAATAAATACATCTGTAAATATTTACCTCAGTAGTATGATTGGAGTGCAATGATCCTTTAATGGGCAATCTGCTGTATACATCATCAATACAATTTCTCATAATTCTTTTCGTTTAAAGTGAAGGTGGTAGTCAAGATGAATTTATAAACTAAGCAGTCTTCTCGAACTGGTTGTAAGAGATATTTTTCCCCAAGAACGTAAAAATGGATTTATCAGAATATAGTAACAAAATCGATTGGTTAGTCATGTAAGCCAGTCGAACTTTTGATACCATTTGGGAAAAATCAAAAAGTTCCAAGCAGATTTTCTATTTATGTATTTTAGAGAAACTGATTAGGAAATCTATCAAACATGATTTTAGTCATTACACACAACCGTGAGGAGGGCTTTCTGGTGTCCATTCTTTTTTTCAGCCACAGTATTTGCTCCTAGGATCTATATCAAAGCACTCAAACTGAAGGGTGTTTCTTTTTATTGTTCTGAATAATGCATGACTACTATATTTCATCTTTTATAACTACATTTTCCCTATTATAGTTCGTTTATATGATGTACAAACCTGTCGTTGCTATGTATCAGCCGTTCCAGAAGACCAACATCTTAGTGCAGTTAATATGGTTCGGTGGTCACCGAATGGAACTGCTTTTGTTACTGCTGGGATGGATGGCAGCTTCAAGATTTGGGATGGAGTTTCATGTAGATGTGTTAACACATTTGAAGCTGCACATGATGGTGCACCTGTGTGTTCTGTAGTTTTTTCACGTAATGGAAAAGTATGTCAAAAAGTTTGAATATGCTTCCCTTTATATCTATATTTGAATACCATTTTGGGACAATATTACAGTTTATTTCGCAGAGATACCTTGTGCATAATGTAATAAATAATATCATCAATACTCCTTAATTTGTTGAGTGATCGATCCATTAGTCACTAAATACGATTCTTATCAAATAGATTCCATTGATTATTTGTTAGCTTATGTGAACCAAATAGTCCAATCTATCTTATACTCCAATCTCAGTAAGTGAACCACTCTCAGCATTAGTGGGAAGTGCCACATGTAAATATGATACCATTTAATTTAGTATAATTCGAAAATACTCATCAGAAGTGTCAGCATGTGCGATTCTTTTGCTTGAACAATTGGATTTCTGTGAATGCTTGGAATTTTTACAATGTGATCAACACTTCATTCAAATTAATAATGAAAAAGAAGTGGTAATCAGTTATACACCTAAGAGAAATGCATTTATTTACTTTAGAGTCTAGAATCCTTATCATTAATTCATTTTCTGGGCCATCCAAAATGTTGAATCGTTATTTAAAGTTTCGCATTTCTTTCAAGTACTTACGCACCCTAGTATTGCTTCTATGTCAAGTATAAGGTTACGAGCTCGTTTGAGTTATCCATACTTTTAACAACATGCTAATAAAAAGGTAGTTACGATTTCTAGGTGTTTCTCTTAGGGAAAAGTGTACATTAGCGTTTCCAACTTCTTTTTTTTAAAGTTTACTGAACAAGTAAAAAATCAAGTTTTTCAGAAGCTTTAAAATGTGCTCAACTACTGACCATCCCTATAACTCATGTATAATGCACAGTACATTTTATCAATCTTAGGACATGTAGGCAGGTGTAGACTACCTAGTTGATGTCCGTGTGATTATTACAACCAAATGGTTAGAGGCTTTCAATATCATAGCACAAAGTCATTCGCGACGGTGCAAGTATACCCACTTTTAGCCTTCCCTTAGATCCTAAGTTTCTTAATCCCTCATAAATTCTTTTTGTTTATTAGTTCGCCAGTTTTTATTTTTACCAAATCGTATCCTCAATGCCTGATCCTTCCCATCACCACTAATACTGTTACTGTCTCTATTACTCTGATGTTTGCCCTGACGACTTCATCTCTGTGCTACTGTGTTGTGTCAACGAGAACCAACGTATACATGTGCCAGGTTCTACGTTGCATTTGAATTACTCACTCCTAGATAAAATTCCCGTAAATGGATTTTATGAGATTCTTTGTATAGCACAAATAAATATTTTGATGTTGTAACCCAATATAGTATGTTGCTTGTAATGGTGACACAAAACGCTGAATCAACCTAGATGCACTACTCAATTAAGGCTGTCTGTCGGAAAACGTATCAAAATTCATAGCAAGTATAAAATCGTTTTATATTGTAGTCTACCCTACACTGGCCGGTTCTATTTCAGTTTTAGAGGCTTTCCAATTTGAAAACAATATTCATTGTGATATAATTGTCATTTTTCATTTGTGATAAAAAAAATTTACAGTGTGCATATTTCTATTTTTAGTATATCCTTAGTTCTGGTAAAGACAGTGCAGTTAAACTATGGGAATTAGCCACTGGACGATGTCTTATAACCTACACTGGAGCAGGTACAGTAGGACATCAAACACATAGATCAATGGCTGTCTTTAATCACACAGAAGATTATGGTGAGTTGACCGATTAATACATGTTGCATTACTCATGTTTGGCTTTCATTTGTTCTTGATATTATTTAACTTTCTACGCTTTTGATGTTATTAATCCGCCTTTTTTCTGCGCTGATGTGCCAGCTTGAACTGAGACACTTGTGCCATATCGTACGTTAATTACAATTGCATTGTTACGACGGAAAATACCAATGGATAACACATAAGTTTACATTATACTCGTCCCGAATACTAAAGATAAGAATCATGAGGGGACTTAGATACCATAAAATTAGTGGTAAAGTAGAGATACTCCATCTGCATGTAAAAGTGTTGAGGTTTACACGACAACAATTACTACCGTGACTTTCGTAATATGTTAGTGCTATGTAACTAACACATTCCTATTATGAAAAAGTACTAATTGCGTGAGGAAATGTGAACACAATTAACCAAGATGACGTAATAGAAAGATTATAATACTAGATTACATAATATGAATGATAAAAATAGATTTAGTGAATATAATATGATGATTGAAACGTTTTAGTTATAATAATTAAAGGTCATAGAGGTGTAGAAGTAAATAAGGTGATATGATGAGCATTTACGAATAAAATAATGAGAATATAAGACATAAGTAAAGGTGGAGTGCAGTAATAATAATTGGATAATCAAAATAATTAAGGCCAAGGTAACGATAACGATAAGACGTACTTCTTTTGTACGCATAGTTCTGGTTTAAGCTCCTAGATGGTAAGAGCTTCGGCTATTTTTAAGAGTTGGATACGAAGAAATCTGGGTAGATTTGAACGAATCATATAAACAACCTTAAAATCAAATTGTGGATCTGTAGAATGGTTACAGTCGATTAGGTGTTCAAGTATAGAACTCCTAACTGTTTCCCGTATCCGAGCTGAAAGCGAGAGCTGGCTACGGCCAATGTACCTTGCTCCGTTTCAAAATACTACATCTACTGTCTCTTCCGACCTACTAGTTAGAAGTTATCAAGTGATTAGAATCATGAACTTTAATTAATCGTCCGAGAGACATTTCCCAACCGATGTCTACTTCAATAATATTCTACCCTTAGTAGTGGTATTCGTTTCGTAAAAGTGATAATATTTGCAAAGCGATTTCATTATATATAAGAAATGCTTCGAGTGTCTTGAATGTCTTCCGCTTTCAATAACCATGTTTGATATTTACAGGTAAATTTAAAAAGAAATCAGTTAGAACTTTGTAGGAGAAATAGGTCATTTGAAATGATTTCATCAATGCCTACTTGTAGCCTTACTTAGAAAAGTCGTATTTCTTAATGTGACTATTATTACACTTATTTTAGCATTAATTCAACCATACAATGATATTTATTGTTTTTCTCTGTATAGTACTATTCCCAGACGAAGCAACAAAAAGCCTGTGTTGTTGGGATTCACGTAATGCAGACAGACAGCGTTTATTAGCCCTTAGTAAGTTTATACACATTAACAATAGTTTTTTATTAAAATGTAGAAAATCTACCAATTTATGAGTAACGTAAAAGTTTATTCATTATGAACGAATCATTGCGTAGACTCTTTATCAGTTTACAATTAATTTGCTTTTGCAGCTTAAGATTTATTTTAAAGCGACGGGAAAATCGTTCTGACCTCCTCTCACTATTGTATATCAAACAGACTACAGTGATACACAGTAGTTTATTTACATTAAACCCAGTTCATTCACGTTATTATATTTATCATTAACTACCTTGTACTATATTGATAGAATGTTCTCACCTAATTTTTTTCTCTGTACTAGATCATAACGGGCCAATCCGATGTTTTGTACATTCACCAACAACAGCGGCATTCATGTCCTGTAGTGATGATAATCGTGCAAGATTTTGGTATAAACGTCCTATATCAGACTGAAATTATTGTAACCATAACATTAGACAAACTGCTTTATTTTGTACAAACTAAACTGTTTTATTATTAATTGTTTAAAAAGAGAAATAAAGCATCGTTAATTGTTAAACTAACATTTTATTCAAATTAAGTAGACATTCTTTTACATGACTGAAAATAACTGGTGAAGAAATAAATAAAACTAAACAATCGAATTTGTGTTTGATCACCTACTTTAAACTAATAATCATATAATATTAATAATTTGTTTATCTTCAATGTTAACCAGCTTGTCGGGTGATTTTTCTTGCTGATTCAACATTTAAAGGTAAATTGTATTTTTTCCATACCATACATAAAGAATCCACTAGTTCTTCAGTTAGTTTATCCGTATGATGCGGTGTAGGTGCAATACGCAAACGTTCATCTCCTATGTCTACAGTTGGGTAATTTATCGATTGCACATATATATTATGTTCGGATAACAGTTCTTCTGATATTTTCGTACATAGTTTCGCTTCACCGACCTATTAATACAGATAAATTATAAAACACTTATAGTAGTGTAAAAATCAAATAATTAGAATTGTATACATATTTCTATAAATGGAAATGTGAAACACTAACAAATTATTATCAAATTTGTATTCATTTAAATCAATTATCGACTGATGGGTTGGAAAGTTCTTTTATTCCTAGCACAAATTTAATGACACAACAGTGTGCTAGACATTATTATTTAATAATTTTGTATTTCTTCCAGTACTGCAGATTAACTGACGGTTAAAACCACGTTGAATTGAAGCTATTAACCATTGGATAAATTCAAATGCTTAAACCAATGAGTTGAAACCCACTAGTTTAAATTCCTATTCGAATCGGTAAGTAAATTAGTTAATTAGCATAGGCTGTTACAAATGGATTCGACTAATTGTTATGTAATTACCTACTTGCACTTAATGGATTAGTTCTCACACACTCGGGCTTTGTTAGTCAGATCAAAGTATTAATGAAACATAAAAATTATCAAATTAGAAAAATACAAACTTACATGTAGCGGAATAATATGTGATGGCGCTTCAATCACAGGCAATCCTGCTTGACGGAGACTTTGGCGTACGATAGATACTCGTTTTTGGTGTTCTGCACGAAGTTCTTTTCCTTCAGAAGATTTCAAAATTTGAATACTTGTTTGTGCAGCAGCCAAGGAATGTGGTGGTAGTGAAGTAGTAAATATAAATCCAGAAGCATAAGATCGGATCATATCAACTAGTTCAGAACTTCCTGCTAAATAGCCTCCGATACTAGCAAAAGCCTGCGAACACGAAAATAGACAATAAAATTAGCGATAATCATAAAATTACACATAACACTGGTCAGGAAAGTAATATTTGATTTGGAAACATTTTATGATGAACGTATTATTATGTAAAATGATAAGATTTAGCGAGCGATAGTGTCATAATCGGTTAACCTTTTGATTTATTATCATGTATTTTTGCTCTCAATGATGGTCATGTGAATTAAACATGAAACGAAAAGATGGTCATTTCGTACGTGAACAAACTACAATACAAGTAGTAAATGATAAAAAATTAGTTTGTGAACTATCAAACTAGTTAGCAATGACGTAAGACTTTTCATGATTTACGCAGTGTTACTATAAAATTAACATGAATCTCGATTCATGGATAGTACGTACGTGCATCTCATACATACTATCAGATGACGTGCACTGGGAAATTTGATCTACCACCTTTTTCTAAAATCTCTCAGTGCAAGTTTAATGCTTGAGTATAAATTTAACAAGATTGTTTAAACTACAGGTAAGTGAAAAGTACAAATAACTTTAATATAATTAGCAAACCTTTCCAAGTGTACCCGTAATTGCATCTATCCTATGCATCTGACCATCACGTTCAGCAACTCCAGCTCCATGTGCACCGTATAAACCAACAGCGTGAACTTCATCAACAAATGAGAGTGCTTTATTAGCTTCAGCAACATCTAATAAATTCTTCAATGGGCAAACATCACCTATGATTATAAAAATAAATAGCTTTTAAATATAACAGTTTGTAGGTGAATGAAAATTCGCTCAATAAATGTTAAATAACAATGAAATCAATGATAAGATTTAATTGAAACGGTAAGAGATCGTGTGGTATAAGAAAGGATAGATAGGTTCTAAAACAAAATATGACTTAAACGAAATATACACTACTTCTACATGAATCAGTTTTCAGACAGTATTTAGTATAGATTTTAGTTGAGTGATTAATAATAAATGAGATTTAGCCACTACGTTGTGCTCCAGTCACGATATTGACCATTTTTGACCACAAACTGCTTATCGTACAAAGAGATGGATAATAATAACTACAGAATGTGACCAATCAATCCATACTAAGATAGGGAGGTCCACTGAAAAGAATAACTACTATTGTAAACAACTGCGTTGTACGTCTTACTGAAATGTATTATCAGTGAAGCTGTTATAAGTGACCAGCACTCTCTTCTGGAAATTTTAATCAGCGATAATTATTGTTTCTTGAAGTCAAGACCAAAACTGAAAGTTACCAGCGAGGCTATAATTCTTCTGGTAGCATCAGATATTCGATTAAAACTGAAGAAACTTAACCAGTTTGCAGGAATGCCAGATACCATTACTCGCGAGTACACTAAGAAGTGATTTATTTAAAAATTCGTACATACTATCTGGGATGACACTCCAGGAGAGAATGCTTTACAACACTCAAAGCCGGATGTTCGCTGTGAATGTTAAAAACGTGAACTATTAGATAAGAAAAGCATTGGGTTAATATTATAATCAATCTTGATTGACCGAGTTAAATGCAATATGCACATTTCCATCTATCAATTACCTCAACAGGATATAACTGTAGGACTAGTGTGAATAAAATTTAAATGTGTTTGGCTGAAAATGAATCCCTGAAATTTTTATTAGTGTGAGCCGCATGAGAGGACTGTGAATTTATTAGTTCGACTCCATGACTCGCTTTTAGTCGGATTAGGAACTTAACATGTTTTACCTTAAAACCCACCAGTACCACATCACTATTCTTTAACTTACTATGAGTGACAGACACTTATTTATCTAAGAATATTAATTTTCGTGTCAAATGTTTTTCATTTTCCTACTTTATTCTTATTGACCTTATTAAAATAATTTCCCTATTTTAATTTATGAAATGGTGGGCTTGTTGGTCAAAGGCTTAAACTTTCAAGCAGCAGGCTATATATCGAAACCCTGCGCGGCATCTACTTGGGTTTGAGAAGCCTGGTAGTAATACCATTAATCCCCTTGGTATAAACAGTTCATCTTAAACTGAGTACGCAACGTTGTACCTGATAAGTTACATCAAGCGTGTGACGTATGGAAACTTGGAAATGATATACTACTTTACGAAATCTTTTTCTTTTGTATCCGATATTCATCACACCTATTAATGAAATATTATTAGGCCATTTACAGGAACATAAGTAGATTAAAATGTAGGCATTTTTAATAATTTTATGTGTCGTCTACTATTATAGAATAATCAGAGTGTGAAAAAATATTTATTAATTGCCAAAGTTCCTTCAGTGAATATTTTGTAACCAGTCTATATTGAACAGTAATTATTAAAGTCTTCAGGATAGATGTGTTTAACGATTAAACGACCATATTACACAAAGTAAACTCCTTATTAAAGAGATTTTAAATAGTGAATACGTGATAAGTAGAATATATTGTTTTAAATTTATTCTAAAGTTATTCTTTTTTTTGTTTTGGTGATTTTAAAACGGAAAGTCAAAAAGATTAGTACACTATTATCATTTAGACCTATGAACAGAAAACTAACAGAAGTGACAATTATAAAAACTTTTTCAATGTTAAATATATAAGAGATCAACATACAAATTAGTTAGTTACCTGACATTGAATGGACTGTTTCAAAAGCAATTAGTTTCGGCGAATCCTTAGGTATATTTGCAAGTAACGAAGTTAAGTGATTCACATCATTATGTCTATAGATAATTTTTGGACAACGACTAGTTCGAATCCCATGTATCATTGATGCATGATTACCAGCATCAGAGATTATTGTTAATTCCGGTATACGAGTTCCTAAAGTATGCAATACAGCTTCATTAGCTACGTAACAGCTTGTAAATACTAAAGCTGCAGGTTTTCCATGAAGATCTGACAATTCAGCTTCTAATGATTCATGTAACAATGAGTTACCAGATATATTACGTGTTCCACCTGAACCAACACCATGTTTACGTATAGTAGAACTAAAAAATGTTTTTTAGAAAAATTCATTGTTATATGGGTGATTAAATCAAGAAAACAATTATGAAATTGCTTCAGTCATATAAACATGACTAATCCTTGTTATTCATTTATTTTGTTGTTTCACTGATATTATTCGTTGTGTGTGCACTAATTGTATTATCTGTATAGGGTTGTGGAGATTGTTGAGTTTTAATTGAGATCATGAACCGATCAATGTTAAACCACCATCGAAAACCTGGAGAGATTATAAGACCGTTTCGTCCTCGTATGGGATTTCTTAGCAGCACGCGCCCACGATCCCTAGCAGGGGATTCGAACCCAGGGCCTTCTGTCTCGCGCGCGGACGCTGGAACTGCAGATAACTGAGCAGGCATCCAACAATGTTAATGTCTAATTTCAAATAGTTCAAAATATTGCACGACCATATTCCATTGTCTTCGGTGAGTAACTGCCTTACACCCGACACAAATTAGTTCCACTGGTCACGACTTCTTACTAGAACTCCGAGAATTACCTTTCGAAGCTAGTGACTAGTGAGCATATGATAATCAGTATAAGGTTGAGTTCTCCCGCGAGACCGAAAATCCTGGGTTCGGATCCCGCGTGAGGGGTTGTGGATACGCCCTCATGAGGAGTCCCATACTAGGACTAGACGCTCGTCCAGTGCTTCCAGGTTTTCAATGGTGGCCTAACATTGGTCACTTCATGATCTTAATCTTATTAACTTACATTTTAGAAAAAAAACTATATTTATTGAATATGTTTATATAAATACCTATTTGACCATAGCCCTGTTAAGACAGTGTGCGACAGTACAAGGACTTATTCAAGAAATTCATCTATAGTTTATTATTTCCTCCATACCTATATATGTGAGTAATATGAAATCCTATAAGATAAATTACACCCTTTATTCTTTAAAAAAAACAATTGTAATATATGTAATGTTTTAACCTAGATTGATCTATTGTATTTTTCTACTAACTATAAGGAGGAAATGCAATAAATGTATAGACAATCGGAAAGTCTAGGGAATAAGTACTTAGCGAGAGATCAATTGGAATTATGTACCACGGTAAAAGTATTGTAGAAGACTCAATCAAGTAGATCAGACAATGAAACTGTAAATAAGTGGAGTGCCTCTTTGTTGTTCATATGATTTTAGTAAGTAAATGTCACGAGTGGGAAATACAAAATCATATTTACCTTAAACAGTAATTGTGCTCATTATAATAAGACGACCGAAAATAAATTATATCATTTATAATCGCAGTCGCATAGGTCATTGGGTAGACCGGTTATACTTTATATCGTTATAACTAGAACATTCTGTCGAATTCTATTTCACTCATGGGAACCATGAGAATAGAATATCTGGAATGAATTTAGCATCGTTCATGAGCTTCAAACAAATTCTTCATAATTCTGATATGTTATGATGCGATTCCAAATATCAGGTAATCCATCTTATTAATTTGTATAGTAAGCAGTTTTTAGAAAAGAGATTAATATAGTGTCAGTCAGTATCAACGTAGAACTTCGTACGTACGTACATCAGTTCGAGTTGCCATACCACATTAGCATAGAGATGCAGTGGTCGATTCAAATCCCGTAGTGGTAGAGGTAATAAGAGTATAAGCAGTAATCGGAAAGATTAGTGTTTGGAGATGTTATTTAAAGCGTATAATCCAGTGAAATAAATTTGGGAAGAGAAAAAAAAGAGACAAGGAGGAATCAGATCAGAATTTGGGAGAACACAAAGAGTGGATGCACCTGCGCCATTGCAAACGATTTCGAGCCATATCATTCAGGGTCTCTAACCATCGGTTGCTATCATCTCGCGGTCCCCAACCAGGTAGTCTACACCTACCGACATGACTCAGTCCACTTGTCAGTGACTTCATGGACTTGTGCCATGTTTTGGTCTGGCCGCCCCTAGTTTTCTTCCAATCTACTCCTATACCACTGAACATCGCACGTCGAGGCAGTCGGTGGTTGGGCATACGTAACACGTGTCCCAGCCATCTCAACTGATGAAGTTTATCCGCTTCATCAATAGATTTGCCATCCTTACCTAGTACCCGTTTCCTGACAACTGCATTACTTACTCGATGGTCCTAGGATATACGAGCAATATTTCGAAGACACCTATGATCAAATACTCTTACCGGCCATGTTTCACTGCCATAAAGTAGGACGGAACGAACTACTGCGCAGTAAACATGTCCTTTGGTTGATAGACGGATATCTCGCCTACGCCATAAATGACGCAAGTTGGTAAAAGCTAGTTGAGCCTTCTGTATCCATGCTGCCATAGAACTTTACGATCAACAGAGTCGAATGCCGCCTTAAGGTCGAGAAATACTATGATTGTGGGGCGTCTAAACGTGTGTCTGTGTTCTAGAACCTGACGTAGTGCGAATGTCTGATCTATACAACCACGTCCAGGTCGAAAACCAGCCTGGTTTTCTCTAGTCTGCTCTTCACGAGCTTTGGTTAGGCGTCGAAGTATTATTGAAGCTAATATTTTAGACGCTATATTAGTCAAACTGATTCCTCTGTGATTGTCACAAGAGGACTTTTGTCCTTTCTTAAAAAATGGCTCAATCAGTGGTTGAGAGCAGTCAGATGGGATTACGTCCAGTTCCCAAATTCTACCTAAGACCTCAGTTAATCTCACTGCTAATACTGGACTACCATCCTTAAAAATCTCAGGAGTAAACCTTTCAGGGCCTGCTGCTCTCTCTCGTTTCAGATTTCCTATGGCTTTTTCAACTTCGTAAATAGACGGAGGACCTACATTAACTTGCCATTCAGGTTGACTGGAGATCGTGGGAAACCGAAGTGTGGCTGAAGGCCGGTTGAACTGATCCCTGAAGTGTTCTGCCCATCGATCCAATCTCTTGGATTGAGAATGTATAATATGTCCATCTTTCTCTGAGAGTGTTTCGCTAACAATCGGTTTCCTAACACCGGTTTCCCTAACGAGTCTCAACAATTGTCTGCTATTACCTATTGCCGCTGCCTTTTCCATCTCTCTTGCTTTCGCTACCCACCACTGTTCACGATCATTGCGTAGACTTCTTGTCAGCTTGCGCTTAAGCTGACTCCGCTCTTCATTATGTTCAGGGCCAGGTGGAATGAGTTTCCGAGCATCTATCAGTGCAATAGATGCTGCTGAGATCCAGTGTTGCTCCCTAACCTTGTGGTTTACCTTACTAACAGATATCACTGCTGTTTCCACAGCTTTTCGGATATCATTCCATGCTGCCTCGGGGTGGGCATCACCTACATGGCTGTCTAACTGTTTTTCTAGTTGTTCCTGAAATATACTCTTAGCTTGACTATCATTAAGTATGGCCTTAAGATTTTTCTTTGCAGCGTCTTTCCTACGTCCATTAAGACCCAGGCAGATACGCACTCGCACTAGAGCATGATCTGAATTTAAGCATGTGCTCCAGAATGAGAGACAGTCTTCTATCGAGCCTCTACATCGGTGGCTGATAGCGATGTGATCTATTTGGGTCCAGCGTTGGGACGAATTAGGGGGTATCCATGTTAAAAGATGTTTTTCCTTATGCATAAAGTTAGTATTTGCAAGAAAGAGGCGGTTATCTGAGCATAGCTGCAACAGACGGTCGCCATTATTTGTTCTTTGAGCCATGACCCTATAAGATCCACCCAGGTGTCTTTCCCTATCGCTTAGTTTACCTACTTGAGCATTAAAGTCACCGGCCACTATTACTACATCTGGGCGCCTAGCTTTTAGGAGGAGGTCGGAAAGCTTTCTGTAAAACTTGTCTTTTACATCATCTGAGCTGCAGTCAGTGGGAGAATAGGCAGAGACGACGAAGAGGCAACGACGAGTGTCCCTATCTTTTCGGATCCTTACTGTTCCGTTCAGTCGGACAGCGCACAAACAACTGTCTACTGGGATCCACTCCAAGAGAGCTAGTTTTGCCCTAGGACTCAATGCTATACCTACGCCGGCGAGGCCACGGGAAGCAGAATCAGGGCTTCCAGATACACGAAGTGTGAATCGAGTCGGTTCTTTATTTTGGGATGGTGAGGTCAAGTGAATGACGCTACTCGGATCTTGTATGCGCGTTTCGGAAACGCAGCACACATCGGTGGCGCGGGATTCTAAATTCCTAGCTAAGGAAGCCTGTTGTCCTATTTGGCACAGTGTTCGGACGTTAAAAGCTCCTGCGTGTAGTTTAGAGCTTGGTTTCAGGAGACCATGAATAACGTTCCGCATACTTGAATCGTTTGCCCTAGCGGTGCGAGATGATAAAGAGACGCGAGGAGGGTTAGTCATGGATATAAGAGAGGTATTAGGAGGTATAGGAAGGATTTGAATGTGACCAACTTGGTTTCGTGTGCTGTTACGGGTATGAGGGCTGATATCATTTCCCGACTGCCCACACCGTGGAAGGGTATTTCTTGAGGAACCTGAAAAGGAAATTGGATTAGTGTTGGTCTTAACAACCTGGGAGCGTGACCGCAGAACCCAAGGGACAACTGCTTGAGGTCGGTCGCGCACGGCCTTTTCGTGGAAGGTTTTTAATGTGTTAGCTCCGTTCTTCAAAGGGCCTTACCGCCGGACGGAAATCCATGAGGTAAGGTGTGACATTTTTAGGGTCGACTTTTTCTAACCCCACCCCTCCTTGTAGGAAGGCAGTATCGCTGCAGATGCTGGTTGTCCGAGGGAAACACCTTACTGATGTCACATCCCTCTACAGTCAGCAGTACGACTCCGCCCTCGGACCTTGAGTTGCTGCTTTTAGTCTTACCGTTCTCCAATCGACATGCCTGGCATGGTAGAACCTACAGGAACATATGCTCCAGCCAATATAGCTCGGTTGGGTCATCACGATAGGCAAGCCCGACCACCGCATCAAGGTAGCAGCTTCGGTCGGGATTAATATAGTTATATATAAATTATTCCATTACACATGTTAAATTTATTTAATTGAACTATGAGTTTTATCAATTATTCTATAAGTATTTAATTCGTCATTGCTACACTTACAAGCGATAACATACTCTTGTTAAATAGAATTTTACAATTACTCATTGAATACTAAAATTATTTGATTTGCAGAACTGTTGTGCTTTAATTGAATGAAACTACCCTTACAATTTAGTTGATTTCTGAAATTTCATTTACCAGATCATCTTATTTGGTTCAAGTTTCATGATAGTGTAGGGGTTGAGAAATAAACACCAAATTAAACAAAAAAGAGACTTTCAATGTCACTAATGACGGTAAGAATTTAACGCCACACCACCATTTCTCTTGAACAGTTTGATCTAACATTAATTTATTAATATACTTCGTCGTGTTTGTGCTAAGTGATAACTTTTTTGTACATGATGATATACGTAATTCAGAAATGAAAGGTCAGAGTATACAAGTGGAAACATGTGAAAAACAAGAATTGATGGAAAAAACATCATAGCACTATGGATATTACATTAAAATATTAATTTTAATTGGATTTTCAATGGGCTATGATTCACGCTTTACCTTATTATCCTTGTTATTCACGTCTCCACTTGTATAGCCTGACCTTTTATTTTTGAGATAAAAGTATCTTCATGAATTGTGAGATTATATTGATCAGAATGCATAGTATAGCACATACCATATAGTACATATTTCTAATATACTAAATTGTGACACTACACTGTTTGAACATAATATAGTTGTCATCAAAATGAAGTTGGATTTTCTTTTACAAATAATCCAACATTAATCTGTGTTTAGTGTGAAAGGAAAAAGTATTTGTTTAACTAAGACTGAGTACCAATTACTATGTAGTAGCGGAATTTTGGCGATTTACTGACTACTGCGAATAATAATAATCACATTTATACCACAAAGTCTTTAAATGAACAGGTACTATCGTAGTGAACGAGAAGACAAGTGGGCACAATCGAATGTATTTGAACACAAAATTACAGAAATTTTTTGTAAAATCTGAGAACTATACAGTGAATACTTCATTTGCAAAATGTCAATCAATTGTCTCAAACTTGACTGTTCCTTTTGCAAAATGTCAATCAATTGTCTCAGACTTCACTGTACTTTCGTTTCCACACCAATCATCATTTGTTCTCGTTCTCTTTCTTCGATCTTCTTAACCTTCTGTCTCTAGACATTGCACTTTCGATTGATGATACATACTACTTATATCTGTCGACATCAGTAGCACACACCACACTATGAAATAGAATAACTACTTTACAAAACTTACGATTACAGAAATAACACAGTTGGTTATCTGTGAAAAGAAACTATAAAATATTTGGGAGATGAATAATTATAAGATAAAGGTCCTTTGTAAGTCACCACCCAAACATTATAGCCTCTAAGTAACACACCTAACATCTGTTCGCCATATTGGTGTCAGCATTGATAAGGTTATGTCAATGTAATTTGTCCACTAAAAGTTCATAACAATCACAACTAACTGAAGGGAATAAAAAAGCAACACTTACATGGCAGCTTCTTGAACTTTAGGATGCCAACTCATTCCCAAATAATCGTTGGAACACCAGACAGCTACACGACGTTTCATACCACTAGAATAATCATCTGCAAACGGAAATTCAGATGCGTCTCTTAAAATTCTTCTAAATACTCGATAAGTAGAATCTCTTTTTTTTCTTTCTACTTCAGACACGAAAAACTTATTATAATTGAAACCTAGGCAGCTATCACCATCACTACGCGCCGAATCGATTGTTTGAGAATGTTCTGGATCAGCGTTCTTTATCGTTATGTCTGTTGTTGGCTGAAGACTTTTTCTCGCAACTATACTCTTTTGCCAACCAGCGAATAAGGCACACGTGTTTGGAATACATATGTCTACAAAAAGAATAGGTAAGACATATAACTAAAAAAGAACGCTCTTAGATACTAACATTGTAATGAATAGTTTTTTCACAACTTAGGTCTTAAGTTCAACCTCTGATTGGGCCGTGGATACCTACTGCTGAGGAATCCCATATTAGGACAAAACGGCCGTTCACTTCTTTCTGCTCTTTTATAAGTTGTTTAACCAAGTTTACGATGTGATATAAACTGTAAAATACAAAGCTGGTGTTCATCAAGAAATAATACATCGTACTATAGATAACACGTAGAACTAGTAGGTTACTTTATTCACAATTCTGAAATAGTAATTTGTACATAGAAAAGTATGCACACCGAACCCTGCAAACAAGGTGAGCTCATGACAGAAACTAATGAAAATTTAACACGAAGTGCATTCGTTCTTTATGTGTTTTAATAGAAAAACAATTCTTAAGTAATTGATATACTTTCTACAATATATTTATATCTTCCAAATAATCATTTAACTTACCATCAGAAATTCCACATAACTGGTTTTGATACATCTCGTTTTCGTGATTATTAGAGGTTTGGGCGCACAGATAATCATTTGAACATGTTGAGTCATATGAATTGACCGTAAAAGGACATTTTTTCAATAAGCACTCTGAGACATTCTCTAAAATATAGGATTAATTCGATAACAAACTAGATGGAAAAAAATATTTATAGAATTGGTAACATACAAAGCTGACAATTAATAACGATGACCAAATAAATGTGTTAATTTTGTTGACTGAACATTAAATGTCAGGTTCTGGAGCGAGGGCATAGTGATTAAAGAAGCTGACTTCTTAACGAGTGAGTAGCAGGTTCGAATAATGTTCCATCGATTTCAGCTTAGCCAACCAGTGTCACTATCCCTTCAACAATGTGTGGCTTATAGGCGGGAACATAAACTCGTACTTAGTCTTTGGGTTATATGGTCTCAAGACGCTGTTAATTTTTATATCAGTCATCAAATAACAATACTCACCTTCCGTCAATTGTATTAATACGGTTTGTTGTTTTGCAGAAAAAAGTAATCCCCTGCTAGTTCATTGGTCTAAATACAAAACTTTCAACAAAGAGTTCAAATACACCATTACAATTACATATATCTATGCAGCTGGTGAAAGCTGTCCACAAATTACATGACAAATTCAATTCATAACTTAATAAACAAATATAAGCATGATTATCGGGATAAGTTTCATGCTATTTATGGATAACTCTGAGGTAATTTTCCCACTAGTACTAGACGGGAATGCCCGGTTCAAAGTATGGAAGGGGTGGTTTAGCAGTTAAGGCGTTCGACTTTCAGCCACTATATCCAAGGTTCAAACCCCGCTTCCCCTACTTCGTTTTTGGTAACCGGGTAGTAAGATTACTAACAATCACTTTAAATGTAGCTGAAATCCGATTACCTGATGAGTTGATTTACAGTTAAATGAAAGTTAAGACAGAATTTCAAACAGAACTATTTATACCAAAAATAAGAATTTAGCTCATAAACATTTCGTCAAAACTTAAAAGAATAGTTTTTGAATAGTCGTGATTATACAGAAAATATAGAAGACTCAATCACATTTGTATGAGATCTCAACGACTGGAATTAAATAATTGCAATTTTCCTCTCGATTGTCTGATTTAAACTTCTGGGAAATAATCGAAACTAATATTAATAAATGTAGAATCGTGAAAACAACTATCAAATTGTGTTCAAATGAACTTGGTTCATTAAAAAAATATGTTATTTATTGTGAAACGGGCTCAAATAGCGGTATGTGAAGATGTGTATTTATGTTATTCTTATTTGAATTCAGTAATCATGTATTCATAAGCTATGATAAATCTATTCAATAAATGGTTTCACGCTGAGCTCCTGTTTGGACATTATATGTCGTAATGTAATTCATCCAATAATTACAAGTTTACGTATCGAAATTGAGTCAAACAGTAAGAGATTTGAAAACAACACTAAGATGAGCAGAGATAGGTTATGTGGGCTTCGAACCTCAGCCTAAGGGTTATAAGTCAAACGACTTAACAACTATACCACTACCACATATAAGTCACTACGAACTGGAAGAAACTTAACGAATTCATGTAGTTCTAGATAAAATGGTTCCCGTCACCCATCCTTAAAGTCACTGAGTAGTTTCAATTGATATACAAGAGGACTATAGTAACCTCAGATATTAATTTAAGACTAGAAGTTTTATACCAGATTGGTTGGAAACAGTGCTGCCAACCTTCTTGTTCGCTCCTTGTGAATATGAAAAACTATAGAAATATGCTTTCCAGTCTTTATTCATTGAATGTTCTGTTGTGCGATTCGCATCACATTTCTGGGGGAATTTTACAAATTAAATACACCAGTTTATTTTACTTCGTATACTTAAAGATAATCATTTATTCCAAAGCAATTAAATTTAAGTCCTTTAAAGTTAGCAAAAACGCTTTTTAGTTCATGGAATCTTTAGGCGAAGACATTTAAATATTTTGTTTTACAAATATTCCGTTTCATCTTTATTAAGACAGCTAGGTTAAAACTAGGACAACAAAACGAGTTTGGATAATATGCATAAAAATTCTGACCACAAACCTTACAACTACGTTAAAGTGAAGGATTGAATTGACTGCCACTGGATAAGACATGTATTTCTGTGGACTGTCCACAGTTTTCGTTTGAGGAAAACCAGAAAATAGACCTGTCTGGCCACGAGAAGTAAAAATATAGAAATATAGGTGATATAAGGGATAAGGGCTTACTACAAACTGATGATTCATCTGACTGACGCTCCATAGCGACATCTGAATACATTCTAGGACTGGAAAGTGGAGTTCCATCGAACAAACGCCTAGCAAACGGACATCTTGGTATTAATTGGATCAACTGTTGAATATCTCTTTGAATCACAGTAGGAGACAATTTACGCAAAAACGGGCACGACGTCATTGTACAATCTTAGACACAAGCAAAAAATAAGTCATGATGAAAAACAAACAGACAGTTATTTATTACTAAGAAAAATATTTATCAGAATATTAGAAACTAATGCGTACACATTAGTATATTGCGAAAACAAATCATTACATCAACCTAAGACATGACAGCGTTTCTAGAGAAACGAAATTGATCCGGATGAGTGACTGCATTCGACGCTTTTTATACGTACGAACTATTTCAGAGTTACCAATTAAACGAAGGACGAATTTAATTGTGGTGAACTTGTAATGTACTGTTAGAAGTTAAGAAAAATCCTCCAACCTATAATCACAAAATTACTTTTCCGCGTTTGGTAGCGACACTGATAGTTATATTTAATACAGATTCCTCAATGTGAACTGTAGTATGAATGATAACTATTTTATATGCTAAATTTAGGGAGAATAAGTAAGAAAATATATACTGTAGAAGAAAAATGAAAATAAGTACAACTATTTCAATGCAATTTAATTAGGTCTGAATTTACTTCAGTAACACTAAACTGCTTGACTAAACAGTAACGTTGCTTAATCTGTAATTTATTAAAGATTCAACTTCGGAAGACACCATATGATGCATAAACAGGTAGTGAAAGTTAATCATATGACGGTCCGTCCTCAAACTAGTGACTTTCAAATCCGAACTATGCACTGGTTAAGGAATCTGGTAATGCTTAGTCCCATGATCGTTACAGTAATAATAATGTAACTCAGTCTTCAAGTCCAAGTCCGTGTGCTTAATTTTCAACGATCCTTTTAGTCGATCTAATGTTCCTACCGGCTGCCTAGAATCCAATAGGTAGAGTTGAAATCGAACTCGCAACTCAGGTGTAGGAATTCAAGTGCTATAGCTAAATCAGCACTTCATAATTAATGTTAAATATAGCACAATGTGCATCCATTTGACGAGTTTACGTTAAGCTGTTATAAATTAGGTCATCCTGACTGATAGTTTGAAGAACTTAGGTCTAAATTCGGATCATAATATAAAATTATCCTTACTATTTATGAAAACAAATCGGGAGTCTGGATCATATCTCTAACACGATCTTGAGGATAAAAGACTCAATAACCTTACTATATCATCATATTTCTTTAAATCTTGAAAACCGTATCGTTGATAATCTGTTTGTACCTGATCTTTTTTTAGCTATTTACGATTATTTGTGATATAATATCTAGCTTTACATCGCCTTTATCTCAACGTACATATCAATGTAAAATGTTACGGCTGTGACAAACCACATTATCTGCATATCAGTATAATAAAAAAGAACAATAAAAAGTTATATCAATCACGTATAAAATATTCGAAAGTACATGCTTTATAAGTTGATGTATACAAATTAGATCCTAACCACCTACACGGATGTATTATAACAGGAACCTGTGCATAAAGTCTTACGTCTTACTAACAGAATGTGGCGCAAGCAGTGTAACGCTTAGTCATATATTCGGTTATGTTATGGTACTGGCAGAGAACATTAAAAGAGGCTTTGTAGTAATCACTCTTCCCAAACAGATTATGAAAAAAAGGTTAAACGCACTTCTTTGGCTATCCAGTCAACAACACAATCTGTTTAGACAAGCACTAACTCTTTGGAGTATTAATACATCAGGTATAAACCAATGCTGGATCTTGGTAAAAAAAAATCGTCTCCCAACCCGTTGAAATACTATTTGTGAAAGATTTTCAATGGTTCGCAATCTGGTGAAGAAAACGGACCTTTAGAACTAAACAACCAAACCCTAGCATTTGCAATATCCAAGTACTTTGCGAAATGGTCAGCAATTTCATTCCCTACATTTATGAGCTTGTGTATTGTATTATAATATACATTTAATGTCCGAAAAAATATGAGCTACTTAGTAGCTAGAATTCTTGAATTCTAAAGGTTGCTTAACCGAATTCGCGGGTTATTTATCACGGAAACCCATATTAGTCCAGTCCTTGTAGTTTAGAACTCCATGTGGAATTCTAAACTTAGTCGTTTCCAACTATCTTGTGATTATCCATATAAATTTGACCACAAGAGTAAAATACTACGACTTAAAAACTCTTAAAAGCTACTTACTATTGACAGAAATATGTAAAGTCAATAAACACTAGCACTTCACACGTCTACAGAAACGTCCTGAGTCGTCGAGCTTTCAAGTGCAACGCACAAATGTCATTGGTTCATTTTACAAGCTCCTAATTCAGATTCTATTGAATGTTTCAATGCTCTTTGTACTTGATAATTTATCCACATGCAGACTATCAAAAGCCAGGACACTTAATTTTATGGATTGAATCATCATCCTGGAATATCTTAGTACCATCTAAGGAGAGCCTTTGACGGTCATATGTCTCACTAGGGGAAAGATCTCTAAGCATCAAAATCACCCGAAACTAATTCGTGTAACACTCACTAATGCTACGGACGTATTTGATATCCTACTAGCTGGTCACTTACTAAAATCAGATGAGAACGTAAGAATACTGCCTGAAATACCGTATTCTGAGCGCAATCTCATCCGGAACACCCTAAGGTATCTCACGAGTTTTTCCGCGGAAGAAATATCACTGTGCAAGGTGTATAAGAAAAAACGGTCCCTGGTTACCCAAACCCTGATATTAGGGAATAAAAATTCATCGAGAGATTCTTGAAGCTCAAAGACATACTGATTCAACAAGTTGTGAGTCGAGCCAAGAAGGACGGAGATTCTAGACCCCGGCAAATGAAGATAACATTCCCATTCTCCCATATGGCGGCGGCAATTCTGGAAGAGTTCCGTGCCCACAGAATGCAGTATGACTGGGATCCATATGCATCCGGATAAGCCACAAGACACCAGGATCCAGCACAAAGGCGAGTTAGAGGTGATCATTCCATTTGTGGATTGTCTTGATCATAAAAAGCGTGTAACGGACAGACTGTCAACTCGAAAAACATTGCATAGGTAGGCTACCTGTCCACTCACGTAAGGCTCATACAGACAAATAGGACGGTGAAGCTCACTCGTTTCTTATTGAAATGATCAACTGCTTATACATGAACGCCGCGAATTTACCGAATAGAATGGATTAGCTACGTGTATTTAGCAATGCTAATAATACTCATCTGATAGGAATGTCCAAAACCTGTATATCTTCTCAGTCTACGAACCAGGATCTAGCAAAACCCGAGATGTTTTCGTTTCTCAATGACAGAAGAACTAGAATTGAGGGTGGAGTAGCTTTATACTTACGATCTTGCCTTCAGGTTCATTAAGTGCACAACCAGGAGTTTATTAATATTGATGAATCCGTATGGTGCTCAGTAGGATTGTCTACCACCTCAAGGTTGTATAGTTGAAGTCATCTACAGGAAGCCCACTGATGAAATCGAGTACAACAATACTATGCTGGGAGATTGATCCCGCCCTACTCGTTTCGGATTCCCTCATATCCTGATTCTAGAGTAAAATACACTTCTCCTGGTCCATATATGGTTCATTCTGCTATACTATGAGAGGCAGTTTCAATCCTGGCAACACCACTTGGCGTGATGTTCTCATACTCACCGGATATTTGGAAGTCGGCTCACATCGCGCCAATTTTCAAAAGAAGTCGACTCAGCGAACCTTCAAGCTACTAATCGGTGTCTCTTCTTTCTATAACTTCAAAACTTATGGAGTCCCTGATATGCGACTATTTATTATTCTTAAACTTCTTTTCACCTCAACAGCATGGTTTTAGGAAGTGTTATTCTTGTGTAATCAACCTGCTGACTGCGGTGGACAGATGAACAACCGTCCTTGAGCACAAGGGGAATGTTGAAGTCCTTTGCTTCGACTTCTCAAAAGCTTTTCATAAGATTAACCACATATGTCTTCTCAATAAGCTCAAATGATTAGATATCAAATCACCTCCAATCGACCGGCTTATTTCATATTATAAAAATCGACATTTCAGGGTCAGGGTTAACTTCACTTTCCTCAGGCTATGGCATGTATTGGTCGGGACCCCAGGGTTCAGTACTAGGGTCTCCTCTCTTGATTTATATAAACGATCTTCCACAACAGGTATCGTTTGACTTAGTACTTCTTGCTGATAATATGGAACTTCGGAGAGAGATACGCAACCAAGAGGATATGATGGCAATTCAGGAGGGTGTGAATCGAATTCAAGTTGGGCAGATGACAACGAGCCTGCCTTTAACACTTCAAAGTGTAAAGTAGTTCATCTGAAACATATTGCAGACTACAGTTACAACTTAAAAAACTACTCTCTAGAAGTATTCGAAGTTGAAATGAATTAACGGGTGATTGTACTCTACAATCTCAAGTCTTAAACTAACTGTGACCAAAATGCCTTTCGAGCAAACCTGACTAGTTTGACGGCAGAACTTTCCACGTAACCTTCAACAGTTCCATTCCTCTCCATTTAGAATACGGAAACATACTATTTCCTCCCTCACCCCAAAGAAACAAAGATACTCCAGAACGTATTCAGTGGCTAACCACGTAATCGATTCGAGGACTCAAATTCAGACCATATGAAGAGGGTCTTCAATCACTTAACTTATACCCATTAGAGTATAGACGTCTTAGAGATGACCTATTGGCTTACAGTATCCTTAACACTTCTGAACATCTCCTTAAACACTTAAGTTTAGCTACAACACAAACCTAAGGGGTAAAACTCGGAAACTGGAAAAACAACATAACAGAACGGACTGTAGACACAACTTCTAATCTCTGAGAGTTGTAAAATGCTGGTATTCGCATCCGGCTGAGCTAGTCCAAGCGATTTTTCAGGAGTCCTTCAAGAGGAAACTTGACCTATTCTTAAGGACTAAAGATAATATCCGACTATGATTTGCTGATTTCTTTTTTTCTATTTTTATCGTTAATAGACCTAGGTTCCTGCCTGGAGGTAATGGTGATCCACTGCTACTAGACACGGAAGCCCGTTAAGCCAAAGCTTCTTCTATTCCGTCCACAACCATTTGAACCATTTGAAGGAATTTTGTGTGTGGGGAAATCATTTTGAGTGTATACGCTCCTGTCTTTCGTTATCGAAGTATTTGTCGGAACCGTAACATATCGTCAAAATTAATGTGTCTTTCAGCGTCCAAATATACTACTCCTTCTATGTTTTGTTGTAATTTGCCTCGTTTGTCTCTGAGATATCGTTATTTAGGTTTGCAGGTGCCGTTGTAGTAGTAGATATATACTTAAAACGAGCGTATCTGTAGGTCGTCAAAATTTACACTGACCTCAGTAATCTCACCAGATGCACCTTAGCCGAATGAGCTCGGACAGGAATCCTCACCAGATCACCATTTGGTACACTGTGCCACTCATCCCTTGTAACAACTAATCAGTTTAGATTGTAAGACCATTCAAATGGCACTGGGCCACAGCCAGGTCATCCGACAGTCGGTTCACTGAAGTTCTGACAATTCAGCGATCCTCGTCAAGGTCAACGGCAATCAACGGTCATCAGACAATTATGCACTGTGAACTTCCCCATGAAGCAGTGGTCGCATTCTGTTTTTTTATGTACCTACTTTTACCAATATATTTTCTTAGTAACGTCGTTTGAGTTGTAGGGTCATCAGAGCAGCTGCACTACATGGATACGACAAAGGGTTAATACAAATTAGGCATTAACAGTGAGGTGTGACTGTGACCTTAACTAGTTGATCATGCTCTTCTCGGGTAACTGTAGTCGGCCACTAGTTATTCGACACAGACCATCTACATTAGTGATCCACAAGATCAAACACTGCTTGACACGTTGAATACCTTCCAAATAAATTTTTGAACTCATTCACTCTTGACATTTGATTTTGACTAGGTTTGAGATCATTAGATTATGAAGAAGTTACGGAAGAAAGCGTTGTTAAACGCTAAATATTCGTGATATCTTTAGCGGTAATCTCGATGTGGTTTGCTACAGCAAACACAAAGGTATCTGTTACACGATACAACCCTGAAACTACAAGTCAAGCTGAAGGGCATTGGTCAGGAAACTTTACTATATGATACATTATTATTATTATTATTATTATTCACAAACATCTTATGGGTACATAAGTGTTGTGATGAAAGCATTTCGGGTTTCTTCAAAAAGTGCAGTAACACACAATTTTCAATAATGTTAGCATTATACTTGCCATATTTAAAAAGATTTAGAGTAATAATAATGGAATATTAATAATAATAAATCGGGTCTGTGCAATTGAGAAGAATATTGAATTGAGTTTAAAGAGGGAAATGGAGAAAATAAAGGGATGGAGATAAAGGAGACATGAAAGACGCAAACAGTTTAATTGGCATGTTTATGAACATAAAACAAGAACAAACAACTATGTATATATCGTCAAATTAGTAACAAAAAATTATTAGGAAAAAATAACTTATGATTGCTGTGAGATAAGTCGCTAGAATAAATGTTTGTGCAGCCATAGTTTAGAGTGATGCTATGAAAGTCTCGGTAAAGTGAAAAGGATAACGAAATATCAATATGTATGAGTCATATATGCATAGTGAAGATAAAACGGGTTTAAAAAGCTAATTTAAGTGTATCACAAGTTATTGTCTTAATTACAAACTTCTTAATCTTACGAATAATATTCATTTAGAAGGGAAAACGAGAAGTGACCTTATATTGGAATTCCGTATCTTTAATTGTGATTGGGATGTTAATATGTCCTTTATTTGTGCTCCCTTCAGCACTAATAACCTTCGAGGCCATAACATGAAGCCTCAAAAACCATGGTTTAATGAACTAAGAGTGGCGTAACGTCAAACCATCCAGTGGTTAATGACTGGAACACCTTACCCGAACAAATGGCATCAGATAATCAGTGAATATTTTGGAACAGAAGCTAGTTCTTAATTAAAAAAGCACTTGCAATGATCAACACAAGCCTAGCAACCTGTTATAGTTTTAATTGAAACTGAGGATAGATTATCAGAACAGCCTACCCGTCAATTTGAAGCTCAAGGCCGTTGATATGGATAACCTTGACAAGGTAGTGTTTCTAAGGTCTACTAATATCCGTAGTTGTTTACTTCTGTTTTTGCGAATGAAGAATTGGAGATAAATTTCTCAAAATCTGACGTATGTTGTGTAACGATGATAATCTCTCGTAGATTAATGAACAATTCATAACTTGTTTGGTGGATAAATGCAAATCACTGGATCCAAAATCAATTTCTT